TTACCACTTCTGATTTTTGCTTTATAGCCAAAAATTTGAGAATTTTAAAATTTTGCCTATTAAATTACTATGATGGCAAATTTGAAATAAAAAACTATGATGGCATGTAAAATTTCATGTTTTCTTATACAAAAAATGAACTATACCACTAGAATGATCGCAAAAAACTATATATACGACAATTAAGCGACTAGTGCGATTTTCAAGCCGATTTTGAATTAAAGATGGTTAAAGTTGGCAAAATGGGTACTAATTAGCATTAATTTGGTCAGTTCTGCAATTTTTAGCATTAAAAACTCGAAATAGGATTGGAAAATTGTAGAACTCACTTAATTGTCTTATATACAGTTTTTTACGCTCTTTCTAGTGGTATAGTTTATTTTTCGTATAAGAGAACTTGAGATTTTACATTTTTTCTGATCATAGTAATTTAATAGGCAAAATTTAAAAATTCTCAAATTTTTGGCTATAGAGCAAAAATCAGAAGTGGTAACACATATAGTCTTGTTCACCAAGGCTTGAACTATAAGAAAATGCCTGTTACCAGCTTCTAACATAAAGTTGCCATCCAGTTGTACAAAATGATGACTTGGCCAGCCGTCTAACAGCTAAATTTATGTAAATGAACAGCTAAAGTTTATGTAAATGGACATGATTTTTTAGCGCACATAAAACCACCAACACGGTAGTAATTTCCTTTCTCTTTTCCTTATGAAATTATTAATGAGTTTTTTAAATGTATAAAATTCACACTGGAAATTTCTATATCTATACAAATCCCGTCTGCAATCAATTCTATCGAGTGATATTCCCAAATTCCTGCATTTTTTGAAAAGCCATTTTATTTTTATTTTTATATTCACTTACACTTGTCCCAGTCCACTGATTCCAAACCCAACGAGAAAACGCAGAAATAAAATCCAATTGTAGGAAGGCGAGACAGCACTTAATATTCCAAAATACATTATCCACGCTGAACTTAACACAATGCCCTAAATATAGAGTCAAATTATATAATGTATACAGTACGAGCCGTGTTGTATATCAGATGTGCACAGCTCGAGCCGAAGGCAAGGGTTGTATGTCTGTTACAACACGGATGCGAATGCTGTATATAGCTTGTGTAACGTAAATGCTGCTTTACTGCACTATCAAAGTTTCTGTGATCACAGCAGGAATTTTGCATGGGTAAATTTTAAGTTTTGAAGGATTTGTAAGAAATGTTCGAGGGAACTGACTGGGTGTTTAACACTTAGCCAGTTCCCTTAGACAGTGCCGGATTAACCATATGGCAGAAGCGGCATATGCCACGGGCCCCGCGCTTTTGGGGGCCCCGCGCTTACTCTCTTCTATTTTTTCCTGAATTTTTTGTTCCCTGTTTCATCGCGGGGCCCAAATAGTGCGCCAGTGCGGGGTCCCAAAGAGCCTAAGTTCCCCAGAAAACGTGAGGCCCCAAAATTTAAAAAGCAAGGCCCCAAAGAGCGGGGCCCCAAACGGTTTTTTCTTTCCCTGTTTCAGCGCGGGATCCAAACAGCGTGGGCACCAATGGATTAAACGCGAAGTCCAACATAAAAAAAATGCGAGGCCCCAAAGTTTAAAAAGCGAGGCTACAAAATTTCAAAATTTGCAGTAAACTGTTAAATAATAAAAGATAGCTGAACTTTTGTGGAAGACGGCAGAAGTTTATATGGACGCTATCATGTTTAGCTATATTTTTTGCCTGTAAATAATAATAATGTTAATGATGTCGAATTTCAGTTCGATCATATTATTGATGTATAATTATTTTTTTGTAAACTTTTCAGCGCATGAAATACAAGAGGATTTATTGAATTTAGTGTCTAAAATGCCGTTCGAGGGGGGGGGGGGTCAAGGGGCCCCGCGCTGATAATATGCCACGGGCCCCGCGAAACGTTAATCCGGCCCTGCCCTTAGAACTTGTTATTTAAAAGTTGATGCAAATAGAGAGAATTTTGTATATGTATGGCATACAACACATCATTAAACATTGAGTTCTTTTCAATTTTCTTCATCAATTATTGATGCTTTTTACACACAATCCTTTTTACTAACTGGAGTTCCATTCCTGCAATAAGCAGTTGTCTAATTACAATTTTACTTCAGTCACACGTGAGAAGAGTGTTTTCTGGGGCCAGCCCCTCACATCACACTATTATAATTAGGGACGACCCTTAATGGACCTCTAGGGAGAAGTACAGCACTTGAAATAATCTTAAAACTATGATATTTACCGATTTTCGTCCATATTGATCACATACTTTCCCCCAGGGTGCTGAGCTAACAAACATTCCAACAAAAACAACCTGTAAAAACGAACACATTATAAATCAAGCAAAGACAGTCACACTTTCCTTGAGAAAATTACCCAGCGAGTTTATTCGCTCGCGTGTCTACAACGAAACACATTTCTCCTTGAAGACTTTTATTAGTAAACAAAACCTGTTCAAAACTTGCCATTATACTACTCATTGTAAATTTTTACTCATAAATGCTGCCATAAGATTACGTATAGAATGTTTCCCAGATTATCAATTAACATAGAATGCGTACCGTAGATAGTAAGGCTTCATCCCATGGTTCAAGAAACCATTCACATCTTGAAACAGGTCCTAAGATAGCGAGTATCATCATCTCCATCGCATCAGCCATCTAAAAATATAACATCAGACCACCTTAACAAGTTTCTATGACAAGTAATTTTCATTATTTGTCAATTGTCTGTGTGTACATACAACAAATTTTCTATGACAAGTTTTTGGTTTTCTTGCCTCCAGATGTATACCATGTTCCATGGTGCATGGAAGACAATACAGATGATTTATTAAAAACACATAAAGTGGTCACATCTTTGTTGAGAAGATGTGAGATTTTAATGTGTGTAGTTTGACTCTATCAAAGAGCGCTTTCCATTTAATGGCCTGACCAGTCAGACCCGAATTTTTGTCTCGGTATCAATGGAAAGATCTGGTCTATGGTCAAATATCTAGCGAAAATGGACCTCATTCAAAAGGCTAGTTTCCACTCAGGAAAATTATCCGTGGATTGGAACGGACAAGAAAATTTTTCTTTGTCTTGTGAGCTCTGGGTTGGAACTAATGACTTTAACACAAAGAAAAATTTTCTTGTCCGTTCCAATCCACGGATAATTTTCCTGAGTGGAAACTAGTCTTAATGTTATCTAAATTTCCCGGTTAGATAGGTCCGAAGTCCAAACGTTTTGTGTTCCATTCAACAATTTGACTGTTCTGACCGGTCTGACCGTGTTAATGGAAAGCGCCCAAGGATCGAGAGCAATTGAGGATGTCATTCATTGAATCTCTACAGGAAGAATGGTTTAGAATTGCTAGAGCTATCTGGTATAAATAAAGTTAGAATGTACTAACCCATGAAAAACCAGTAACAAAGAGCAACAATATTTGATACTTTCCAAAACCGACATGTTCTACAACTTCTTCCACCGAGTATTTTGTATCTGGAGAAAAAATTTTAGTCGTATGAATCAGTGTAATACTAATACATGAGTCAGTTTTCTCAAACATTTCTTACAAATCCTTCAAAACTTAGAATTTACCTGTGTAAATTCCTACTGTCATGACAGAAACTCCAATTGATACTGTAAACCAACCTTCAGCCTTGCTTAAAGTTCGCTAATGACAGCATCCTCCTGACGGATTATCTGTCGTCTTAGTTTAAACATTCGACGAGGATTATCCAACGTCTAAATACCCGAAATACTGCAATACTGTGGGCGAGTCGGGCGGATAATTTCCATGAATTTTTGTATATTATTAAGTAGCGTTTTCACCAAACTTGATCAATAACCAGGATTAAACAAAATATATTTTAAAGCCCCTCTTCGAAAATTGAAGATCCCTATATTAGTATACAGATCTACTACATATACTAGTGTAATTCACCGTCACGTGTGTCAATATATTGTATTTTTGCCAAATCCACCAATAGCAATTTCCAATTTACACTATTGTTCGAGTCACGGATAGGTAACGTTCCTAAAATATTGCTATTGGATATAGTTGAGCAACAATACAATACAATACGCACGTGCCGGTGAAGGACCAGATTTATGAATAAACGTTGACTAACATAGATAATGAGTTATATTGTTATTCTAATGAGTTTCACAGCCGTCTTCCCTTGGATAGGCTATGAATTGACCAAGTGTAAAAACTTAAATTCTTCGTAGGTAAACACTGTTTTCTTCAAGGGGTAAATGCACATCTTTTAAATGACGACGAGGACAATTCAGAGTCACTACCTAAAATAACACGATCTATAGCAGAGCTGCCAAATTCAGATAATTAAAAACCTGGAGGTCATCTAAGCTTCGAGGCCAGTATCAACAAAATTGGAGGGGGG